CCAACTGTGAGGCTGTAGCTAAGCTTGAACCCCAGCCACGATGCCATTATTCCTGCCTCAGGAACTTCCTCTAATCTCATCACAAGAGGTTGTAAATTCAGGCTGGCAGCGTCATCTCAATTCATTTCAACTTTCATTAAAGAGCTAAAACACTGGAGCAGATCTATCAGACTGCACCCTTTACCTGTAAATATTCAGGCAATCGTTATTGTGCATGCTAAATTTCTCTGTCCATTTTAATTTTGTTACCAAAATCTTCAATACATTTTGTGCATGTGTCTGAAGAAAAAGAACAATTCACAAGAAAATCACTATCACTTCTTTCTTAGCAATTAGCAATATTAACACTAATAGTTTGGAAGTGCTCAGTTAGTGTTAATATTGCTAATTGCTAAGAAAGAAGTGATAGTGATTTTCTTGTGAATTGTTCTTTTTCTTCAGACACATGCACAAAATGTATTGAAGATTTTGGTAACAAAATTAAAATGGAAAGAGAAAGCCGAAGAGCCAGCGTTGTCCGTAGACACCTCCAAGGTCATGTGGCCGGCATGACTGCATGGAGCGCCGTTACCTTCCCGCTGGAGCGGTACCTATTGATCTACTCACATTTGCATGTTTTCGAACTGCTAGGTTGGCAGAAGCTAGGGCTGACAGCGGAAGCTCACGCCACTCCCCGGAATTGAACCTGCGACCTTTCGATCAACAAGCTCAGCAGCTCAGTGCTTTAACCCACTGCGCCACCGGGGGCTCTGGAGATATGATAGCCATGTATAAATATGTGAGAGGAAGCCATAGGCAGGTGTGTTTTCTGCTGCCCTGGAGACTAGGACATGGAACAATGGCTTCAAACTACAGGAAAGGAGATTCCACCTGAACATTAGGAATAACTTCCTAACTGTGAGAGGTTCAGCAGTGGAACTCTCTGCCCCGGAGTGTGGCGGAGGCTCCTTCTTTGGATGCTTTTAAACAGAGTCTGGATGGCCATCTGTCAGGGGTGCTTTGAATGCAATATTCCTGTTTCTTGGCAGGGGGTTAGTCTGGATGGCCCACGAGGTCTCTTCCAACTCAATGATTCTATGATTCTGCCTTGCTGGCTGGTAGATTCTGGAAGGTTTTGTTCCAGAAAAGTAACAATTCCCAATTCTAATTGTTTGAAGACAATAACGTTTAACCCAATTAGCCTAGTCTAAATCCAATTGCTAGTCCCAACTCAAGATGACCCACCAAATTAATCGGGTTTATATAATTGTGAAATTAACTTTCGGCAATAAATTCAATGGTTCTAGTGTAGTTGGGACTATCAATTGGGCATGCCTTTATAATTGCTTAAACATTCTAATGTTTAGAAAGGATTGATTTACACTGAATACAATTACGTCTCTTCTAGTGTACTCACATAGTGTTAAAAGAGCTTTAACCAAAAATTGAGCCACAGGGAAACAAGAGGGAGATATAATCATGGTGGGGGAGCTCAAGGAACCATAGAAATGCAAAATATCCTTGTAAAAGAAAAAAAACAAATGCAAGTAACTATCTGAAAGAATGGAAAATCAAATTGGGTTAAATGGAACATCATAGAAGATGGTGAGGTTGTTTGGCACACTTAATAGGATAAGGTATAATTTTGAATCTTTTACTCTTTAAAGCAGGGCAAATGTGAATCATTCATTACAATCCTGGTGGTGCTTGATAATTAGTAGTCCCCAAACTCCATATTAATAGAGGATGAAATTGAAATACACTTAGGGCCCTTCCACACAGCCCTATAATCCAGAATATCAAGACAGAAAATCCACCAATATCTGCTTTGAACTGGGTTATCTGAGTCCACACTGCCATATATCCCAGTTCAAAGCAGACAATGTGGGATTTTATTCAGCTGTGCAAGGGGCTGTACAAATATAAGCATATAGATTGCTCAACGTAGTAGTGTCTGCATCAGAACATTCCAAACTCTATATTGCACAAATCTTATTAGCCCAAACCAAAGACATGAAAATATATGCCAATATTTCAACAAATTCCAGATCTCTTTATCAAGAAAGATGTAACAGAGGGAGAAGAAAGCAGGTCAATTCTGTTTCATTGGCCTAAATAAAATATAGCTACAGTATGGATATAGACATTAAAATGCACTGCATTTAATTTTGGCTGGAGCTCCCCCATGTGGATGAACCTATTTTTGGAAAAAAGAAAGTTATTCCATGTAGTTTAAACATATATGCATTAGGAAATGAATCTATTGCTGATAGAATTTTTTTTTAATATTCTTGGGAGCGCAGTTGAAGAACCAAAACCTAGACAAGTATGTAGCAGTTTTACTGAGGCCCCTTCTACATTGCCATATAATCCAGAAGGCATAATGCTGCCCCCTTCTGCACTGCCATACAAAATCCAGATTACCTGCTTTGAACTGGGTTATATGAGTCTACATTACCATATATTCCAGATCAAAGCAGATAATCTGGATTTTATATGGCATTGCAGAAGGGCCTGACATTCAACTTCTCTCTAACAATATTACTCAAGCATAGAGCTTGTAGAACAATTGTGATAATAAGTTTAAGTTGGATTATGTGGGCCATTTAGGTTTGATGTCCATTCTCAATATTACCTTGACATTTCCAAATTCTGTCCCTGAGAATTAACTTACTGGGGAAGGGAAGGAACCATTCATCTTCCTATTTGTCCCCAAACTCAAGCCCCTTCTACACTGCCATATAAAACTTAGGTCCCTTCCACACAGCTGAATAAAATCCCACATTTTCTGCTTTGAACTGGAATATATGTCAATGTGGACTCAGATAACCCAATTCAAAGCAGATATTGTGGGATTTTCTGCCTTGATATTCTAGGTTATATGGCTGTGTGGAAGGGCCCTGAGATTATCTGCTTTGATCTGGATTATATTGCAGCGTAAACTCATATAATCGAGTTCAAAGCAGATAATGTGGATTAACTGATTTGATAGTCTGGGTTATATAGCAGTGTAGAAGAAGCTAATAGTTCCCCATAGCAACAATCCTATAATTTAATCATATGTTGGGAATCTTCAGGGGGATCTCATTGGCTACCTACCAGATTTGGAAAGATCATGTTCATTCGTTCAATCATTTCCGACTGTTCATGACCTCATGGACCAGCCCAGGCCAGAGCTCCCTGTCAGCTGTCACCATCCCCAGCTCCTTCAAGGTCAATCCAGTCACTTCAAGGATCCCATCCATCCATCATGCCCTTGGTCGGCCCCTCTTCCGTTTTCCTTCCATTTTCCCCAGCATCATTGTCTTCTCTAAGCTTTCCTTTCTTCTCATGATGTGGCCAAAGACCATACCCTCCCATTATGTCCTCTGAACTTGGCTAGTATTTTCAACAAAAGACCCCCATGTCACCTTTTGAGTCCTCCTTTGAATATTTTAGGTCCAGGAAAGACCACAATGCTGAAGTAACACATCATCTAAATCAGGGGTCCTCAAACTTTTTAAACAGAGGGCCAGGTCACAGTCCCTCAAACTATTGGAGGGCTGGATTATAATTTGAAAAAAGCATGAATGAACTCCTATGCTGCACATGTCTTATTTGTTGTGCAAAACCCACTTAAAACAATACAATAATTAAAACAAAGAACAATTTAAACAAATATAAACTTATTAGTATTTCAATGAGAAGTGTGGGCCTGCTTTTGACTGATGAGATAGGATTGTTGTTGTTGCTGCTGTTGTTGGGTGCTTTCAAGTCGTTTCAGACTTAGGTTGACCCTGAGCGAGGGCCAGGTAAATGACATTGGAGGGCTGTATCTGGCCCCCGGGCCTTAGTTTGAAAACCCCTGATCTAAATGTTTATTAATGTCAGCAAATGCATGAAAGAAAGACTTCTCACCTTTGGATAACTCCTTGAAAGTCAGGATCACTTCTGGTCTGGGAGAACAGGTATGCTGTCTTGATCTTCTTCTCTTCCTTTTTGAGAACAACAGCTGGAGAACATAAATGCTTTTTGTCATATCCGCTTGTAAATCTTCTTTTTGCACACAGTTGACTTTCTCTTGACAGTTCTATGTGTGTCTTTCTGCTTCCTTTTGCAGTTTCTTTGCTTCTTAATTGACAAGTGACACTTTCAGAAACATTCAGTTGAAAAGATCCACTATTATTTGCTGCTTGTGCTTTATTATTTTCTTAGGCTGATTTTTTTTTCCATTACCAACTTTATAGCTCCATATCTCTTTAGCTTTCAGTTTTCCTCCTGCTTTTTGCTTTGGCTTCCTTTTGGGACAAAGACACCCCGGAATTTAAGTGCATTAAGCATGAAGTACTGTGCCATTTCCCCCCTTGCAAGTTATGTAAACAAGCTTCATTGAAATTTCAGAGCAAAATGAAACTTGGAACCTTTTTAAAGAATTCCAAACTTTATTACCAAGATCATTAATTCCTGGGGGTTATTAGTAAACAATTTCATATATCACATCTTGTGAGACAGAAACAGATATTTCTTAAATTATCACTGCCCATCTAATTGCATTTAGAATCCCATTTCCAGTGACTGGGAATGCTTTGGAAAACCTTTTATGTCCCCATTCATTCAACCACTCATATATTCACCACTGACTAGCTTGGAACTCTTTCAAACCTCAAGATGTGTATTTATGCAACTATGAATAACAGTACAAAGGACAGAATTACAAAACAGGACATGTTTACTTCTTGACAGAAGTAGTTTACTGCCTGCTTAGCAGGGAGCCAGAATACACTCATTTCATCTGAATGAGTTTACTGCTTTTCATGTAAAGCTGAAGTTGTTTTTGAGCAGCAAAGAGGAGGCTTCTTGTAGAGAAGCCTGTCATTTTTTTTTGGCTTCTTCTTTGACTGTTCTAATACTAGTTTGTAAAAAGTTAGTGTTATACTTGTCAGAAGATCAGACTTAACTTCAAAATAAAATCCACGCAGATTCTTCATCTTCATTATAAAAATGGTCAAAAAAGATTAGATCTATAGTTTTCAATGTCAAAATACAGGATGCAGTCCAGTTTCTTAAAATGCCAATGTCTTTTCCCCAACAACCTTGACAATTACTGTTACGTTGTTCCATCTTTCTTGGCTGAAAAGAAAACAAACAAACAAAAATATATATTAAAATAAAGGAGAGTTTGGATCAAAACTTAAAACTTACGATCTTCCGGGGAGGCCCTACTCTCGATCCCAACTTTGTTGCAAATGCGCTTGGTTGGGATGAGGGACAGTGCCTTCTTGGCAGTGCCCCCCCCCCCCACCTGTGGAACTCACTCCCCAGTGAAATTAGGTCAATGGCTTCCCTCCTTTCCTTCATGAAAAAGTTGAAGACGTGGCTATGGGACCAGGCATTCGGATAGCAGGCTGACAATAAAAATGACGACAATGCTATAGAAATTGGACTATGGACAGGCTTCAGATAAAGTTGTTGATCGTAGAACTCGGAGTTGACATACCAACTAATTCAATTTGCACTATTTTAAATGGTTTATAATCTAATTTTAATGTTTAATGTTTTACTTATTATGTAACTGTTGTTTTATCTGTTGTATATGGGGAGCGGCTGTAAGCTGCCCTGAGCCCCCCCCCCCCCTTGGTGGTAGAGAAGGGCAGGGTACAAATATTTGAGATAAATAAATAAATAAATCTCCCTTTCTCTATCCCCAAAAGGAAATCTTGCAATCAATTCTTAAAAATGGTTTTTGATCTGAAATTTCCAGACTGATGACAAAGGCAAAAATAAGAATATCACTTTTTTAAAAAAGTGAGTAGTTCTAGGTAATTCCTTTCTTACATGAAGCCTTATGTAATTCTGGGTGCTGATTTTGACCTTTAAAGCCCTAAACGGTTCAGGCCCAACTTATGTATCTGACCGCATAGCTTCTTACCAACCTGCCCGATCATTAAGGTCTTCTGGAGATACCATTCTCTTGTTGCCACCAGTGCCACAAGTATGGTTGTTGTTGTTGTTGTTGCTGCTATTATTATTTGCTGCCATAAGAGAGCGAAACAGATAATGAATAAACAGGATACTTACCTCTTGCATGTGGATGGGTGTATTATGACCAAAGGATGAAAGCTAAAGAGAAAAATAAAAACAAAAATAAAAACTGAAAAAAGAAAGAAGTGGGGAACGGAAAATGGAAAGAGAGAGAAAAAGAAAATTTATAGTAAGCTTAGTAAGAAAGCAGCAGCAAGTCTACACAAAAGTAAAGCAAGACAGCTTGTTGAAAAGAAGCAACATAATCACCAACAGAGGTGTTGTTATTGACCTTCAAATTGACTCAGATTTATGGTGACCCTTTTTTTAAAAAAAGAAAGATTTATTCATAGGCGATTTGCCATTGCCTTCCTCTAAGGCTGGGAGGGTATAACCCAATCAGTTATCCCTTTTGAGTAGGGGTTTAAAACATGGTCTCTTGGAGCCCTTCCACACAGACATATAACCCAGAATTTCAAGGCAAAAAATCCTATTATCTGCTTTGAACTGGGTTATCTGAGGGCACTTCCAGACTGCAGCAAATCACGGGTTTTGATCAGGGGCAAAAAATCCCAGGAATTCAGAAGAGGTCCACATACAGACATGTTGGTCCCGGGATTTCTGCCTCCATTGTCCACATTTGCTGCTTCGTTGCAGGATTTAGAAGCTGCCGGGGGACTTCTGCCGGAAATTTCAGTGTTTTTTTTTAACTTAAGGTGCAAACATGTGGATCATTGTATAAGTTCCGTTCCTAGGTTATATAAGCTATAGGCCATCTGTGCAGACAGGGTGTTGTTCCTGGGTTATACATGTCTGTTCCTGATTGCTCTTAATGTGAAAAGACGTACAACATTGACTAGGGGGCCACAACTTTGTCCTGGCCAGAGAAAATGTGTCCTCCACACATTTCATGAAGTTTCTGGCACACAAAGTTTTTGTGTTATACTCAACTGTTCCCTTCTTTTTAGAAAATGACCAATCCGGAACAAACCTCTAAAACCCAGGAACAAGCCTAGAGTTAAAAAATCCCTTGATTTTTGAGTGCAGGGACAGACATTCGAAGATCCAGATTTTTGGCTCAGAAATGCGATATTCCCGCACCTAAAAATCTCGTGTTTTTTGCCATTTGTAGCAATTGCTTCCGTGTTTACAGGGAACAGAGTCTGGCCACCCTCTTGTTTGCTGCAGAAGCTCCTGGGATAAATGTATTGTCTGGACGGGCCCTGAGTCCACACTGCCATATATTCCAGTTCAAAGCAGATAATGTTGGATTTTATTCAGCTGTGTCGAAGGGTCCTCTGACTACTATAAGATGCTGGTTCACCAAGACATGTTTTTTCTCATTTACCTGCACTGCATATATGATGCATACATGCGCTGTGTTTCAGAAAGAGAGCATGAGATTGAGAAATGGCTCAGGTCTTGAACACTTTGGACTCCAGCTCTGTTCCCTCCAAACCCTGAGAGCTTTCCCCATGGAATCTAGCAATGTGAATCATTAAATGTTGAGATAATAAGATCAACCTATCTTTAGAACAATGGGAGGGGGAAATCCAATCCAAGAGTCAAATCCAGCCCATGAAAGGTGTGGATGATGCTCTTTGCCCTCTCTCCAAAACTTTATGCCTTGAAGATTCTCTACTGCTCAGCCCCCTTCTACGCTGCCACATAAAATCCAGATTATCTGCTTTGAACTGGATTATATGGCAGTGTAGACTCATATAATCCATTTCAAAGCAGATAATGTGGGTTATCTGGTTTGATAATCTGGATTATATGGCAGTGTAGAAGGGGCCATAGTGTAATTCCTTTGAAATTATGAATTCTGTTATTGTACATCATCATTTTGCCCATATCCATCTGGTTTTTTGGGGAAAAGCAGAGTCCTTGAAGATTTTTCTCTTTATTTGAATGAGTTTTCAACTCAATAATATTCATGCATTAGGCTAAAATATATTACAAACATTTTTGACTTTAGGAGATAAATGCCAGAATCTTGTTGCTAGTTTTAATGATGTTTGATGGATTTATGTAAATAAACCATTATTTAATTATTTATTCTTTTAACTTACTGTATTAAGAACCAATCAATGGGATAAAGGTCCATGTTAGTGTAAAGCAGTGGTTCCCAACCTTTAGTCCTCCAGATGTTTTGGACTTCGGCTCCCATAATTCCTAACAGCTGGTAATATGGCTGGGATTTCTGGAGTTGAAGGTTGGGAACAACTGGTATAAAGTGTCCCTTTCTTGACTTATTTTGACTGCAACCTATCACATCATCCCCAAGGCATTTTCTTTGTCCAATCAGGTGATTAGAAGAGCATTCTGCTTTGAATGATGCTGTCCCAAATGCACAATCTCTCTTTTGTACACTTCGTTCTTGAGCATATCTTGCAGTCATTCAGTCTTATTGTCATACCTTTTCTTCTAACTCCTTTATTTGTCTCTTTTGAGCTTCAATTCTTTCTTCTAGTTCTTTAATCCTCTGTAAAAAGTAGAATTCAGTGTCAATGTTGCATTGGGAGGAAGAGAGAAGATTAGATTCAAAAGATTCATTTGAAAATTTCAGAAATTGATTTAGCTATGGTGCAAATTTGCCAGACATTTCTAATTTTGCTCATAGTACCTTAAGAATTCTCACTCAGATCCCTAAAGAGGATATGTCTGTAGGACTTGCCTATATGCCTAGAACATTTCAGGTGTCTAGATTTTAGGATCTTTGAGCTACATCTCTGAGAAGCTTTTCTTCCCCTGTTTGAAGTTCTACCATCTTCCCTGATGAAGATGCCAGGGGGCTTTGAAAGCTGGAGTAATTAATTGTTTACTTTCTAATGGTCTAATAAAAGTATCACCACAATATGGATTTTTCAATTTTGGATTTTGTTTTATGGTCAACATAGCTACCCAGCATAGGATATCTGAAAGACTGCCACTTTCCATGGTAGCTTGCTCCAGGTTTGAGATCTTCAGAAGTCCTGCTGTGCCCCAATACCATGGGAGGGTAGGCTGGTATGTGCATGTAACAGGGCTTCCTTGGCAGCTGTTCCATAAGGCCATTTGGTTTCAATTGTTTTAAAACTTTAAGATCATCTGGAGAGGCCCTGCTATCGGTCCTGCCATCGTCACAAGCACGGCTGGTGGGGACGAGAGACAGGGCCTTCTCAGTGGTGGCCCCTCAGCTATGGAATGCCCTTCCTAGGGAGATCAGATTGGCTTCTTCGTTTCTAGTATTTTGGAAAACTTAAGACATGGCTGTTGGGCAAGTATTTGCAAATACTGAGTAACGGACATAAGAAACGGAACAACTACACGATGGGACTAGGTAATGTTTTAATGAGTATTTATTGAATTATGTTTTATTGTCGTTATTATGATTTTATTGATGTTAACATTTTTATATTGTATTTGTGTTTTTGTGGCATTTAATTTTGCCTTGTAAACCACCTTGAATCACCAGAAAGCTGAGAGGGGCGGTATACAAGTATAGTACATAAATAAATACTTTTGGATTGTTCTTATAAAACAATTTAAAGATCATTTCAATCTTTTTTTTAAAAAAATCTCTGTAATGTTTTAATTGCTTTCATTTATTCATTGCCTCATGAACCTTTGTGGGTTAGTAGGAAATAAATAAATATCCCAGCATTTTAAAAGAAGATTGGCATTTTCTTTTAAGATGGGCTACAAATTCCAATAACAGACCTTTATAGTTTGCAATCTGTACTTCTACTCAAGCTTAACAATTTCCCCCATATCTGTTTATATATACCCATATATGTTGCCGGAATTGCTGGGATTCACCTAAGGTCTTTTCAGACTGGAGTCTCTTGCTCCTGCCACAGTAATTTCCTACATTATTGCATCTTTCTTTAGAATGACAGTACAGAATCAATGTGGATAAAACCTTCTATGGGCTTGAAAGTCATTCAGTTACTGCCATAACCTCTTTTCCAGTTTACCTGTTGTGCATGCTGAATGAGTTCCATTCTTTCTCGAAGAATCTGGGAATCCCTCTCTCGGAGTTCACTCATAACTTGCCGCTTCCACTGTTCCACTGCATTCCTCAGCTTGTCTCTCTCTTCTTCTGAAAGGATTTCTGACATTTTGGCTCCTGCTTCCTGCTGTAGGGCATCGTAAAGCATGGCTTCCAATTCCAGAATGTGCTAAAAGGGAAAAGAATAATATAATTTGTTCATTTTGTGCTCCCCAGTACTATTTTAATTTTGTCGATGTTTAATGCTTGCTGGACCATTAAAGTCAAGAACCTTCTCTGTAAGCTCAACAAACAGCAATAATGGATGCGGTAACAGAAGGGCAACTGACCTTTGCTTACTGAACTCTGATCACAGTTGTAGTTGTTGCTGTAGTAGTTGCTGTGTGACTTCATGTCATTTATGTGTAACAGCAATTCTAAGGCAAATCTATCATAGAATTTTCTGAAGCGGGGTACATTAATTCTAACTAATGCAGTCTGACAGCACTTTACCTGCCATGGATCAATGCTCTGGAATCATGGGAGCTGTAGAAAGTAAAGACCATGTAAGTCTAGTCTTATCTGCCAAACAGTGCTGGTGTGTCAACAAATTACAAATCTCAGGATACCAGAGCATTGAGCCATGGTAATTAAAGTGATGTCAGACTTCACAAGTTCTCTATATGCACTCTAAGAGTGTGTTACTTGCCCAAGGTCATCCAGTGGTTTTCATAGAAGAGCAGAACCTTGTTTATCAGAATTGTAGTCCAATGTTGAAAGCATTAAACCCTTCTGGCTACAAGGGATCCCCTTAGGAACTGCTAAATGATTTTGGAACTCTGTTCTTGAATTGGGGTCCCCTTAGGAATTTCGAAAATGGATTTAAGAAATCAACTAAATAGTCCTGCCATCAACCCCTAGTACTCCTGGATTATGATATGCCCAAGAACATTTTCACCAGGGTGAGATGTTCTCTTTGTAATCTTTGTTTTAGGGTACAAATCTTAAATATTTTTGTCAGAGCTTGGAATTCTAGGAATGGTAAGCTCAAAAAGGTTAACTTTCCCAAGCTCTGCTCTTCATCACATTTCTGTTTGACCTAAGAAAAAGGTAAGGTTGTCCCCTGACATTAAGTCCAGTTGTGTCCGACTCTGAGGGCTGGTGCTCATCTCCATTTCTAAGCTGAAGAGTCGGCGTTGTCCATAGATACCTCCAAGTCATGTGGCTGGCATGACTGCACGGAGTGCCATTACCTTCCCGCAGGTGCAGTACCTATTGATCTACTCACATTTGTATGTTTTCGAACTGCTAGGTTGGCAGAAGCTGGTGCTGACAGCGGGAGCTCACGCCGCTCCCCGGATTCAAACCCGTCACCTTTTGGTCAACAAGCTCAGCAGCTCAGCAGTTTAACCCACTGCGCCACTGGGGGCTCCCTACTGTATACTACTGTATAATACAGGGATCCTCAAACTTTTTAAACAGAGGGCCAGGTCACAGTCCCAAATCTGTTGGAGGGCCGGATTATATTTTTTTAAAAAAATGAATGAATTCCTATGCACACTGCACACATCTTATTTGTAGTGCAAAAAAACACTTAAAGCAATACAATAATTTAAATGAAGAACAATTTTAACAAATATAAACTTATTAGTATTTCCATGGGAAGTGTGGGCCTGGTTTTGGCTGTTGAGATAGGATTGTTGTTGTTGTGTGCTTTCAAGTCATTTTAGACTTAGGTTGACTCTGAGTGAGGGCCGGGTAAATGACCTTGGAGGGCCATATTTGGCCCCCAGGCCTTAGTTTGAGGACCCCTGGAATAAAATAATAATCCCTACAAAGTCATGAAGATGGGGAAAATATTAGGGAGGAAACAATAGGCTAGCTCTGTGAACATAAGAGAAAACCAGTTTTACCAGTGAGTCTTTTCTTGCACCATCATATTGTGTGTAGTATGGTAAAATTAATTATTTGTGGCATGGGGGAGGGGGTTGGTCCTCCCATAATGCCATTCATATATTACCTTGCTTTTTCCTTCACTTATTTGGTCCTTAAAACCCCCCCACTGATGCTTAACTAGTAGCCTGAGCCACTATAGGACAGAAATCTCCTCATTGCTCGTATTTGTCACTTACCAGCTATTATATCTTTTCATGGGATTACACGTCAAAGGCAAAAGGAGTATTTATTCATGAGAAACAAATCCTCTTTTGACTTCTGGAAAAAGTATCATTCTCTAATGTTTAAAGCTGTGAGAAGGACTGATTGATGTTAAAAGATTTCCATATTTTTGTTGCATTTGTGAGGATATTATAGGAAAGGCTATACAGAGTCTCTCTCTAGTTGTGTGATAACACAACTGTATTAGGAACAGTCTGCAGGGACCTTTCATTTCCTGCATTTCATAATCTCTGATATATGATTATGTGTGGAACAGACTGTAACCATGAACTGTGGATGACTGATAAACTGAATGCTAGTGAATAAGCGAGCACACAGGATTAATCTGCAATGTTTTGGTCCATTTGATAAGTCAATAAACTAACTTATTAGGCTTACAGTGATAATTTTCTGCTTGCCATTTTCCTGATCCAACCCTGTACCTTCAAAGAGCAATGGCTCTAGGGAAGACTGCATAACACTTTCCTGACACCATTCTCCTAGTGGAAATCTCTCCTTGTCCACAAAAACAAACAAATCACAAGAAGACACCTACTTTGAGGTGGGAATACAACAGATTTGGAGGAAGTTCCAACAGGAAATATTTTGAAGAGTGCATGGGTTAAATTTTACATATAGTGCTCTATTCCAAACCACAACTGCTATTTAAGATGAAACACAAAGAGATAACAGCTGGAAATATATTTAATATCATCTCTAAACTTATCTCCAGAAATGGACAAAACATGAACCAACCCTACCCCCATTCTTAAATATGTAATGTAGGTAGAATCCTCTGAATTTGAATGTCACTCACTGCAGAAAGGAATGACTATTTGTTGTCTCCTCTGACCAGATACTACCAGTAATAAATACCAATTATTCACTGATATAATTTGACAATTTTAAATAACTACTGTCTAGTATTAATACATCCTATCTGTGATGCTATATTCCCAATCATTAAAATATTAATTTTCATTGTTTCTAAATTTGCAAGCAAGGTTTTCCAAAGATTCAGGGTCCATTTTATTTGGATTTGGATTAAGAGTCCAACAAGATATGTACTTCTTCACTAGGGTAAATCAGGATAAATAGTTAGTACAATAATTTCTCTTTCAAAAACTCTTTGACCTACCTTATGTGCTTGATCTAAAGACTGTTTCCTGTAATCAAGTTCATCATCCAAATATCCCTTTTGTTTACTAAACAGTTCCTAAAGACAGAAGGAGAGTTTAGTTGTCTCAATAAGTGCCAGGTAAGGCTAACTATTATCCGCAATGAACTGTGGTTTATTGACATGATAGATTCCTAGATTACCTTTTCATTTTCCAGGTCTATCATTTTTTGCTGTAATGCTGACTCTGTTACTTCTATCTGCTGCAACCACTGCACAGAGATGATGGAAGATCAAATTCCAAGTTAGATGAGCAGATTTGACAAAAGAACAGTGCAACTATCAATTACCTATTATTTTAAGTCTTATGCTATACACTTGATCGCTACAGTGAAAAAAGAAAACAAAACCCTATGCTATACTACGTTTATAAGCCAAAATAAAAAATATTTCTCTAGAACTAGCAATGATGACCAGAGCTTAGAAAAATTACTTTTAATACTAAAACTCCCAGAATTTCCCAGCCAGCATAACTACTGACTGATTATTCCAAGCTCTGATTATAACTCCTATTATGACACACCATTGCCTTGATATAGAAAGAACAGTTTAAATTTTGGGCTGAATCCTACACATGCACAGGAGAGCATGTGTAGGAAGCATCTGTTACACTAACAACAAACTCAAATATCTTTTAACTGATTTACGAGGCCATAAAAATCTCCTGGAAGTATGCAAAGAATGAGGAAAGTACTTCATCAGTGTCACAAACAGACAGTGACACGACAGCTCCCCTGGTGGCCAGAAGCTGGAATGTTAAATAGCCTCTGAGTGTCTGTCTATATATGTTGTGTGTCTATGGCATTGAATGTTTGCCATGTATATGTACATTGTAATCTGCCCTGAGTCCCCTGCAGGGTGAGAAGGGCAGAATATAAATACTGTAAATAAATAAATAATCATATGCCATCTCTTTAGAAAGAAATAAGACAGGTGTATCAACCATAGCAGCTAGAGTGGAATCATTATGCCATAACTGTGTCATGTGAAAAGGAACCAGTTCTTTGAATGTTGGATTCAAGTAGAAGACAAAGATAAGAGTAACTACTCTACTATACTCCCATTGATTATTCTGGTTATACATTAGTAAAACCCAGTTATACTAGTGAAAATAGCCTATGATTGACCCTCAGAGAAGGAAACAAATGTCATTACCTTTTCTGCCAGCGTCAAAACCGTTCTTGCTTGTATGACAACTACTTGCTCTTCATTTGTTAAGTTCTGCAGCAAGAGCAGAATTAAAATTATAATCAGAGCACAAGTCTTTTCATCTGCTTTCAACTTCTGGGACTTTTCTTGAATTGAATCTGAAAACATATTCTAAAGCTACAAGACAAAACTAGTACTTTCTTGCTAATTGTAGTTATTACTGAATTATGCTGTAATTCTTTTAAAATAGGTGATCATTATAATCCAGTGGAACATGTGGGTATACTGCTGTAAATTATTGTGTGTAAATTATTAAAGCAATGAACTACCAGCAGAAGAAGTCATAGAATCATAGAGTTGGAAGAGACCACATGGGCCATCCGGTCCAACCCCCTGCTATGCAGGAAAAGCACAAAGTACCATCAACAGATGGCCATCCAGTCTCTTTTTAAGAGTTCCACTGTTGAACAGCTCTTACGGCAAGAAGACTCTTCCTAATGTTCATGTGGAATCTCCTTTCCTGTAGTTTGAACCCATTGCTCCAAGTCCTAGTCTCCAGGGCAGCAGAAAACAAACCTGCAGTGCTCCCCTCTCCTTTTGACATCCTTTCAAATATTTATACATGGCAATCATGTTTTCTCTCAAACTTCTTTTCTGCAGGCCAAATAAAGTCAGTTCTTTAGGCCACTCCTCATAGGGCATGGTCTCCAGATCTTTGATCATTTTAGTTGCCCTCCTCTGGACACATTCCAGCTTGTCAATATGTTTTGAATTGTGTAGCCCAGAATTGGACACAATATTCCAGGTGAGGTCTGACCAAAGCAGAAACCAAAATCTCCATCAATATTTTGATCTAAAATTATTGAAATCCCTCATGTGTCGATACTATGCTTATTAAGTCATTATTCTTATTCATTCATTTTTCCACTGGTTAATCATGTAACCATGATAAACAGGGAATGGAGACTCATAACTGGAAGTCACTCTTCTGGCTTTATGACTTAATGAACTGGAGACTGCCCAACTGCTTGTGAGCCTATGCATAAAATGGAAACATAACTTTAGCTATTTTTTCTAAATGCTTTATAGAAACAGGACTGGAAAATATTTGTGGTAGCTCCATATTGTTTTATCAATTTACCTTTTCTGAAAGTGACAGACATATGAGTTGGGCTACATGGATATGTCTGGATGTCACAATAAGAAAGAATTCTTATCAGGAATAAGCCAGCAACTAGAATAGCTATGGTGGAAGCCTGGTGCCCATATACAGGAAGTCAGCAGGAACTCTTCCCAATCAGTTTGTATCTTCTTTACATCTGAAGACACTGAACTGAATTGGCTATGCCTTTTTAGTTCGCCACAGCCATAACAGATCTTGCTTTATTGTCATGGGATCTAGCCATGGCTAAAGGTGCACAGAAAGTCCAGCAATTTATAAATTCCAGTGCAACTGCATGCACAAGGCACTTATATCACATTTATACAACTTTATTTAAGGAAATGTAGTTGGTGGCAGACTTAAAATTTGAAATGTAGTTGGTGACTTACAATTTTCTGTAGACTAAAATTTTCAGTTGTGAATTCTCAAGTATCTCAAGAAAAAATGAATCCCTGGACTCTACAGTTCAGTTAATATAATGTGAGATTGGCAGCTAAAGTGGTATAAAGGTGCTAGAACTGTGTGACATGGTTGATATATCCCTGATCTATACATTACTCAAAGACCCTAGTCATAATTAGATCCAGTACTTATATAAAATATATATTTTATGGAATAGGTAAATGCACTTGTCTGAATTACATGACCCTCTTTTCATTTAAAATATGTATTTAGATAAACCGAGAATTGCAGCTCTTGGGGAAAAATCATATGGACAATTTCTGTAGAGCTGGTTGGAGATGTACAGATGAACGTTCAAAGATAAAATCTCCTTTCGAATCCACTTTATGTGGATGCACTTGGTTGCCATTTGGATATTGGCAGTGTGGAATGGTAGCCTCAACTGCATATAGCTTCAATTTGGTTGTGTCAGGAGTGACTTGAGAAACTGCAAGTTGCTTCTGGTGTGAGAGAATTGGCTGTCTGCAAGGACGTTGCCCAGGGGACGCCCGGATTATTTGATGTTTTTATCATCCTTGTGGGAGGCTTCTCTCATGTTATGAGGAGCTGGAACTGATACAGGGAGCTCATCCGCCTCTCCCCGGATTCGAACTTGTGACCTGTCGATCTTCAGTCCTGCCGGCACAGGGGTTTAACCCACTGCGCCACTGGGGGCTCCATAGCTTCAATGGCATCTGTTGTTTATTGCAATGAACTGAAAAATCTCAGACTTCATTCTATCTCTAGCAGCCATTCAAAGCAAAGGTGGAGTTAGCTATATTCATGTCAGCTGATGGCAGCCATGTCGATACGGCAGTGAAACTAGGTCAGATTTTGGCTAGGTTTTAAAGAAGTTATCCAATTACTGAACATATTTTAGATGTTGGGTTCAGTACCTTGGAAAGCTGCTTTAAAGTCCAGATATCATTAAAACTGAAGTATATAAAAATTATACAATATCCCTAAGTGATGTGTCTACTAAGGATGGGGCTTAACTGAACATGGAAAACACATTTTCAAATATCACATGAATTGAAGAGTTTCCTTGTTAATTGACTAATAGATTGCATAGAATAAAAGGCAGGATCCAGTCAGATGTAAACACTTTTCAATCTCATTTACTTCAGTTGAAGGAATTTATTCAGATGCCTAAGTGCACTTTAAAACTGTGACTGGATCATGTCCAAACCAAGCAGGAAGCAGTTCAGCATATTTTACTTAAGCAAACAATTCAACAGTTTTTAATAAACTATTTTGTATAATAGTTGAAGTTCCACTAATTACTTTATATGTGCCTCTATCACAAATCCTTTTTCCAGAGTGACATTCAGAATAATTAAATACTTTTAAAAGAAGCAAACAGCAAATAGCAAAAATAAAGAAGAATTAGGAACAAGGATATGAATGAGTCTGCATTTATTAATAAAATAAATATAAAATTATGACCACAAGAAAAGTGTTAATGAAATATTTTATAGGATCTTATTGGCATTTATGGTAATGACATGCAAATACTGTAGTCATCACCTGCCCCAGTCAAAATGTGAGATAAATCTATAAAGAGCAGCAGACAGTTATAAACATGCTTGGGAGGGTTTAATAATGCCAGCTAGACAAAAGGACAAAATATATTAACAGAGACATGCACAATTTATTAAAGGAACATACACTTACGGCGTTATCCCCTAAAATGTCCAGTTTTTTCATCAACTCTGCTACTAGTATATCCTAGCAAGAGAGAAGTATACCAGGGACAGAACATCAGAAGAATAAGACATGATACTATCTTTGAATGAAGAAGGAACTTTTGAAAACCCATCTAGAATTACTTACTGTTACACCTTCTGCCTCACAATACACCTGTAGGGGACTTTTCCCCTCAGTAAAAGGAATGTGATGAAAATTGATAGCTGGAGATCTTCTTTCTCTTTCCTATAATCAAATCAGTGATGTACAAAAGGTAGTGCTTAATCAAACTAATAAGATTCCAGTAATATTTATTTCAAACACAAAAAATAAGTAAATATATATTATGATATATAAGAGAGAAACTGTTGGAAATTTAGTTATCTGCTACTCAGACACAGATAACTAAATGACCAATAGTTGCTCTCATATATTGCAGGATGTACTAGGTATACAAATGTGGAACATTAATGAAGATTAATAAATACTATTTCTCTGACATGAACTTCTTTGTAAACCTGGCCATATATCCTTTTGACACCAGCTCAGCCAGCTTATCTTTTTGCATGCAATACTAGAAGGTCAAGCAGAAACATTTAAAGCCTGAACTACATGTTTTAGACCAGATATGGGCAAACCCAGGCCCGGACCTGGATACAGCCCCTTGGGCTCTTTTCTCAGGCCCTCTTCTCTCACACCATCCTATCCTTCGTTCCCTTCCTTCTTTCCTTACCTACCTCTTTCTCCATCCCTCCTTTTTCCCTTCCACCCTTTTGTCCTTCATTCCTTCTCTTTCTCTCTCCTTCCTTCTTTCTCCTTCCTTCTCCCTCCTTCCTTCCTTCCTTCCTTCCTTTCCTTCCTTCCCTTCCTTTCCTTCCTTCCTTCCTTCCTTCCCTCCCTCCCTCCCTCCCTCCCTCCCTCTTTCTCCTTACCTTCATTCCCTTTCATCTTTTCATCCCTTCCTTCTCTCTTTCCTTCCTCCTTCCTCTCCTTCCTTCCATACTTTTCTTCCTCCCTCCCTTTCATCTTTCTTCTCCTTTTCCTTCCTTTTTCCTTCCACCCTTCCTTCCTTCTTTTTTGTCTTTCTTTCCTTCTCTCTTTCCTTCCCTCCCTCCTTCCCTTCCTTACCTCCCTCTTTCTCTTCCATCTTCTCTTCCCTTTCATCCTTCCTTCTTTCCTTTCTCCTTCCCCTCCATCCTTTTCTTTCTCCCTTTCTTCTTTTCTTTTTCCTTCCTTCTTCCCTTCCACCCTTTCATCCTTTTTTTCCTTCCTTCACTTTTGTCTTTCTTTCCTTCTCTCTCTCCTTTGCCTCCCTTCCTTACCTCTCTCTTTCTCTTTCCATCCTTCACTTCCTCCCTTTCATCATTCCTTCCCTCTTTCCTTCCTCCTTCCCCTCCTTCTTTCCATCCTTTTCTTCCCCCTTTCTTCCTTCTTTTCTTTTTCCTTCCTTCTTCCCTCCCACCCTTCCATCCTTCCTTCCCTTTGTCTTTCTTTCCTTCTCTCTTTCCTTCACCTCCCTCTTTCCCTTCCTTATCTCCCTCTTTCTCTTTCCATCCTTTACTTCTTCCCTTTCATCCTTCCTTCTCTCTTTCCTTCCTCTTCCCTTCTTTCCTTCCATCAGCGGGCAGTCACATGCTAGCACTGCTAGCATGTGGCCCCCAAGTTAGGAAGTTTGCCCATGCCTGTTTTAGACACATGTCAAATGTTCTAGTATTTCCCCAACCTCCCCCCAAAAAAGATGTAACTTGTAATGTTCCTTGTTGAGATGCTTGCATTTTCATATTTTTCATTAGACATATCCAGTATCCAAGGGAAAAGGTCTGCTTTGCTCTCTCACAGTTTGCAAAGGAAATGACTAGCTATTACTGATTATTCAATATTATGTACACTGACCAACAACAAGAAATGCAATAGAATATGTTAGATAAGCACAGGCCATCAAAAGCTGTTTATACCACATCAGATTCACCTAGCCTTCATGGCATGTAATGATTAACAGAAGCTCCCTAAGGTCTCAGGTAAGGTTTTTCTCAACACGTGCAACATGAAGAAGCCACAGATATGAAATTAGAGGCATTCTGCATGCAAAGCAAAGCATTGAAACTCTTTACCCCTTCTAAACTTTTCCAAAATCAAACTTCTCTTATATTTGACTGGAGCAGAAGATGAATCTATTCTTCCCGACACTAAAGCTTTGAGCCATGATGTACTGCAATGTTTTAAATCATATTTTCCTGTACATTACTAAATGAGAGCATGTTTGACATACTGGGTTGAGTTGAGGCAAAACCTCCACTGCAGTAATGTGATATCACATCCAGGGGGCGTTGGGGTGGCATGTCATCAGACTCACGGTATCATTCATGACATCAGAGTATAGAGAACCACATCAGGAATGTCAGCAAATATAGCAAAGAGTGCAGAGAAGGGCCAGATGGAGAGGATAAAGATAATACCAAGAATACATTTCTATTTACATATTGTCTCCAAAGCTTTTCACAAGAGATTCCAATGGTAGCCAAGTCAGGGAAATGATGCATGGGTACTAATATGTTCCCACCTCAATATGAATCATAATTTAATGCAACATGAATAAGTCAGAATAAATCCAAGCAAGCCTTAGGCTTGTATGCCATTTTCTTTTTCTACTCTCAGTGGGTTTCTTCTTCTTCTATATTTACTTAATCAAATTGTTACAACCAAGCACATTCAATTGACCTTCTGTCCTCCTGATATGGAAATAGACTTAATGATCTATTGTCGAAGGCTTTCATGGCTGGAATCACTAGGTTCTTGTGGGTTTTTTCGGGCTATAGAGCCATGTTCTAGAGGCATTTCTCCTGACGTTTCGCCTGCATCTATGGCAAGCATCCTCAGAGGTAGTGAGGTCTGTTGGAATTAGGACAATGGGTTTATATATCTGTGGAATGGCTGGGGTGGGGCAAGGAGCTCCACCCCACTACAACTACAACTAAAGTCACTATCGTTATATTGTTATCTTTTTTGGAGCATAACTTAATATACCCGTATCATAAAAATCTGGTAAAAAAAATCATTGTGATAAAATGTGGAAAACTTTGGTTCATACTTACTTCAAGTTCTAGTATTCTAAATTCCAAGAGTTCATTTTGATCTTTAGCATCCTGAACATCATGTTTTAACCGAGCCTCTTCTACCTCCATTTGTTTTATCTAGAAAAGCAAAGCAATGATTCCTTCTGTTACAATATGCAAGAGAATATCCCAAAATGTTTCTCTTTCATAAGGCAACGGTTTTAGATTTGATACAGCAGCTGTAAGCATGAGTTAGTCTTGGAATTAATTCTTCCATACATAACAATGCATAAATAATGAATTCTTAGGAAACTATCTTCATTCAGCTTGATTACTACATTTGCACATGGGAATAATAGGCACAATCTGTACGTTTTTTTAAAAGCAATGTGATCTGAAAACTATATTGTTGTTAAAGCTGTATTTTTGAGGATTTTAATTTCCTTAACATTCAGAATTGAAACAATACAAACTACAAAGTTTTCTAATGTTTCTGATGGCAGTTTGTTCCATTGGGCTATTATTTTAAAAACCCACACATTGATGCATATTTGCTACCTTTTCTACTAGTTCTTGGTTTCTTCTGTATAATGCCTGCTTTTCTTCAATCCACTTCATGTCCTTGGAAAAATAATACAAAACTCAGATTAGAGAGGGTGATGTATACATAGGATAGCATTATAAGAATATCTGGACTTCTGTGTTTTGACTTGGGCCTGTTTCAGGTCTGGCCTATCTTCATGACCACATCTCCCTCTCAGAGGCAGCCCTAGGTAATTTTCAATGGTGAGCAAACAATATTTTGGTGCCCCCCCCCCTTCCCCAATCATTGATATATATTTTCTGTTTGTCATGGGAGTTCTGTGTACCATATTTGGTTCAATTCCATCATTGGTGGAGTTCAGAATGCTCTTTGATTGTAGATGAACTATACATCCCAGTAACTACAACTCGCATATGTCAAGGTCTATTTTCCCCCAAGAGTGCCTCAAGAGCGCCCCTGGGCAAAATCAACTATACTGCGAATGCTTACTTTGCATAATGGGTTGAGCTGCCCCTGCTCCCTCTATGAACCAGTGCAGGTGCTAAGATCTGCTGGGGAGGCCCTCAACCATCACAAGCACGATTGGTGGGGGCAAAGGAGAGGGCCTTCTTGGTGGTGGCACCCCGGCTCTGGAAAGCCCTCCCAAGGGAGATTAGGCAAGCCACAACACTGTCCTCCTTCCGTAGGGACCTGAAGACTTGGCTGTTTAAACGGGCTTTTGAGAACACCTAGTCTCTAGTTGACCTACACAATTGTTATGCAGCCTCACATATTATCCTATGCCCTCTTCCCACGGTTATAGCGCTGCACTTCTCCCATTCCCAGTTCGATCACTTGCCTTATTGGTAATGAGTGCTGTTTTTAATTGAGTGTTAGTTGTTGTTTCATGCTTATATGTTTTATTTAATTGTATTTTTAATTGCTTTCATTTTACATTCTGTTTTTAGGCACCACGTGTAAGCCGCGGGTCCCTTGGTGGTGGGATACAACAACAACAACAATAACAACAACAACAACAACAACAACAACAATTCATTCGGGGTGCATCCACATTGCAGAATCATATCACTATGACATCCCAGTCATGGCTCAATGCTATGGAATCCTGGGATCTGTAGTTTGGTGAGGCACCAGAACTCTTTGGCAGAGAAGCTGAAAAACCTTGTAAAACTACCATCCCCACGATTCCACAGCACTGAGTCATGGCAGTTAAAGTAGTGTCAGATTGCATTAGTTCTACAATGTAGATGCACCCTTAGTTGCAGTAGTTTCCACAAAATAATCATACCTTTTCAAAAGCAAATAGTTTGTTTCCTCAGCAGTGTCATAGTGAACTGTACTATTACCCCCCCTTTTTTGGAACGACATTAATTATAAATTAATTATAGGTGCCAAACCCTGCCACACACATATAAGAGATAAATATCACAAAAAATACTACCAAATAGCAAAAAAATGAAATGAATGATAGGGAAGCATAGAATATCATTGCAAGCAATACATTTGTCAGAATGAAAGACCTATGGGTGGTTTAACAGATTGGAACTTCAGACCTAGAAGACTGAGATTAAATATTGAGCTGCCCCCACAATATATGACTCAATTAAAGACAGATGTCTAGAAGTAAATCATGAAATTCACCTTGCCTTAGCACATCTCAATAAATCATATCAAGGAAGAGCACATATTAATAAGATCTATGGACTGTGTATGAAAAGTCTTGTAAACATTTGTCAGTAGTTGATGTGGGGACAGATTTTAGCAGCAATTTACTCAGACTTTTTAGAAAGGTTCAGCAAGTTACAGGCTGAAGTATGATGTCTGTGTTTACACAGTGTTTACTCCTGTATAAGTGCCTTTAATCACCTAATGATTTATGGCAGCTCCATGCAAATCTGGATGGATCTACACTACCCTATATCCCAGGATCTGATCCCAGATTATTTGATTATCCCAGATTATCCGACAGTATAGACTCATGTAATCCAGTTCAATGCAGATCAGATCCTGGATCCAGCCTCCATGAATTTCATAGAGATTACTTAGGTAAGTGCTTTTGCCTGTTTCTTCCTCTGAAATATGCAGTACCTGGCATCCCGTTGGCAATCTCCCATATAAACACTAACCAAGACCCTGCTTATCTTTTAAGATCAAATGGGATCTGGTGCCTTTAGGAGATTTAGGCCCTGAGTGTTTACAGGATTGAGTGAAATACAGAATTAAGAGATAGTAGGTCTTTTGAGACTGTCCATCTCTTGTGCTAAGATCTGCATGGTCTTCTTTCCACAGGCAATTTAAAATGCTGATATTCACCTACAAGGTGGGGCTGTGATACTAGACACAAACCTGCTTCTTCATCAGCATCATTACCTGGAACTTGTCCTTTGAGATTAGGTGTGTGGTAATCTTTTCAGTGTCAGAAGTCAGTGTTTGGAATACTGTTTCCAGAATAGTCTACCTGGTACCTACGTTTTATCTTTGGGTAGTAGGTACCTTGATGTGACTACTGCTTTCCTAGGTCCCTATCTGAGCTACATCATTAAGATGTACTGCTAATATTAGTGTTAGTGAGTTGTCCTGATATCCTAGGATGTGATCCCAGATTATCTACTTATCTCAGATTATATGGAAGTGGAGACTCCAGGACTTTAAGATCGTCTGGGGAAGCCCTGCTCTCAACCCCCCCCCCCCTTGTCACAAGCACGGCTGGTGGGGACGAGAGACAGGACCTTCTCAGTGGTGGCCCCTTGGCTATGGAACACCCTCCCTAGGGATATCAGATCGGCCCCCTCCCTTTTAACATTCAGGAGAAAAGTCAAGACTTGGCTTTTTGAGCAATCGTTTGCAAGTACAGTGTAACTGACATAGGAAAATGGATCGATTAGACGATGTGATTGGTCAATGTTTTCAGCAAGGAAGTGCTAATGATATATGTTTGTTATTGACTTTGCTATGGTTTTATATTATGTTAATGTTTTAAATTGTATTTTATGGTCTTGGTATCGAGTTGCCTGCGGACTGAGAGGGGCGGTATATAAATATAGTAAATAAATAAATAAATATAGTCCAATTCAAAGCAAATAATCTGGGATAAGATCCTGGGATATAAGAAAAGATGGGGCCTGAGTCTGACTTATTTGACTTTTATCTTATTCATTTGTTCAGCTAACATATAAATGGGAGTGAGCCTATGCTGATTTGCCCCACCACAGAACCTCCATACATAAGAATGTATGACCATATAAGGTCTGAGATTGTGTATGTAGGCTTTGAACACATAGAGGGTTTCCTTAAGCTCTATTCAGGCATTCTATCCACACAAAATAATATTTGCATGGAGGAAAGGAGTATGCTAGTTGTCCCATCTCCACTTCATTCCTTGCTAGACCTGTCTGATGTTTCATACATGGGGAAAGGCTACATGTGTTGGCTCCTCTATGTGGATTAGTACCTTTGGGATTCCAAGCGTAGCCTTAACTTCATAATTTATTTATTTATTATTTAAACTTATATGCCGCCACTCCCCTGGGGCTCGGAGCGGCTTACAAGAATAGCTAAAATCTAACAAAGTTTAAAAGCAATTTAAAACAATTTAAAAACAACAGTATCAAACATTAAAAGCCTGTCGGAACAGGTATGTCTTACATGCCCTGCGGAAAGCTGGTAGGTCCCGCAGGGCACGAACTTCAGGTGGCAGAGCATTCCAGACTGATGGCGCCACTGCTGTGAAGGCTCTTACGTCAGATTTTTCTCCAACAGTTAAAACAAAGCAAGTTAAATAAGCCAGGTTTTATAATTGGCTTGTTTAACAATTGATTAGAATAGGGCTGGACAACTTTTGCTGTTCAGAGTTGCATTCCCACACACTGCCACATGGTAGTGTGTGTGTATATGTGAAGCTGGTGATGGGCACAGTCAAAATCAAAAAAATATGAAGCCTAATCTTTCTTTCTCTGCCATCCTTTTCTCTTTCTCTCTCTTGTCCCACATCTAGTAGGCTGATGGACTGATGTTGCAACACCTATAGTGAACACACTTACATAGAATGCCAAAGGTGATAGTTTTCCACCCTTGAACTAGAGTTCATTTTAGTTTCTGGTTCATCCATAATAATAAGCAAGGAATTGACTAATGTAAGACTAGAAGACTAGCTGGTAAGGTATTTTTTTTCAACCAGCCATGAAAGATGGGAGGGGCGTGTTTGGGGGGGGGGGAGCAAGGGAGGATAAGTCTAAATCTTTGCTTGAGCACTTTGATAATGTACATACAACTAAACGGGTTTAGCTTTATGTCTTAGCCCTTCCACTGACTTTTGCTTGCTCAGCACCTTTGCTATTACAATGAGCTTAACCTCAGTGGTATTTAACATTTGTACCTGCAGCTAGGCCTGTATGAAGTACAAAGTAAAATTCAAGTCTTTTGGTGTATAGTGATAACCTTCTTTATCTCAACTAGTTTGTAGTGGAGACTGCATTGACACATCGTGCTTGTTCTCACCTGTCCTTGCTCAGCAAGTGCCTTTTCGAGGTCTTCTATCTGAGCTTGAGCTCTGTGGATTTCTGCTTGAAGCTGCTCACGGGTCTATAAGATAGGATTAAAGAAATGTCAAACTTTCTCTGAAAGGTGTTAGGGTAAATGTTCAGTGCAATAGTACTTTTTTGAACAATTGAGTGTTGAAAGTATGTCTATCTACAAATTTAGATTACACTATATAACATGTTTGTTGTTTCTGGGTTGTAAATATTATTTCCTAATTGGTTCTATCATAAAAACATGGGAAATGTTTAGTGAAATGTAAAAACTTTGTTTTTTGCGGGACATTTTGTAGTCCATTTTTCTATAGCTTTTTAATGAATATCTGGTAGAGTCTCAACCAATTCAACATAGGGTTGTTGTAGTTTTTTTGGGCTATATGGCCATGTTCTAGAAGCATTCTCTCCTGATGTTTCGCCTACATCTATGGCAGGCATCCTCAGACGTTGTGAGGTCTACAGATTTTGTATACAATTGCACAAAACTGTCAGTTCAGCAGAGTAAATGCACTAACCTCACAACCTCTGAGGATGCTTGCCATAGATACAGGCGAAACGTCAGGAGAGAATGCTTCTAGAACATGGCCATATAGTCCGAAAAACATACAACAACCCAAACCCAAATGCACTAAAATTGCAAGCTTAGTGTAATACTGGGTGGTTGTAGATTTTTCGGGCTGTATGGCCATGTTCTAGAAGCATTCTCTCCTGACGTTTCGCCTGCATCTGTGGCAAGCATCTTCAGAGGTTGTGAGAATGCTTGCCACAACCTCTGAGGATGCCTGCCACAGATGCAGGTGAAACATCAGGAGAGAATGCTTCTAGAACATGGCAATACAACCTGAAAAACCTACAACAACCCAGTGATTCCAGCCATGAAAGCCTTTGACAATACATTCAATTCAACATAGTTTGTGGCAGCCACAAAAACGACATTTTTGGACTGTAGCAACTACTCTCAAAGTAAGTATTGCACAATTAAACAGGAAATAACACTTTCAAACCAGGAACAGAAATGTTGTCAAATTTTGTTACATAGTGTTTTCTTGAATATCTTCTTGCACAAGTCTGGTTTGCATATTGCAAAAAGGCCACATAGGATATACTATCTGTCTAGAACACATTTGCGTGTAGCTGTGCACCTTAAGTGGATGCAAAGTATGTGAACAGAGTTGATATTAATTTCAAATGCTGGCAGAGGCACATTTTGAATCCATTCTCCTGGGTTGTCCATCATATGGGGATGCATTTAATAATAATAAAAAATCAATGCAATATATTCACTATAACAAATACACTACTCTGTAGAAAACAGAATGCGACATCCTGCATTTCCTTCCCCATCATATAATTTCTCTTCCTTAAGATCCATTTGAATTCTAGGTTTAACCAGCATATTTTATTGAGATAAGTCAAATGCTGCTATGGATGATGAACAAATTATTTTCTATCTAGGGAAGAAGATATCCCTCTGTTTCCAGTTTGTGTCAATTCCATTTGTTTATTCATAAGGCTGTTTTCCATATCAATCTGCAAATTACCATTTTTAAAACCCCTACATAGATCACACAAAATTTCAATGTGTTTTTAACATGATAAAAATGTGCATACAAAATTTCCTAAAACAGGCATTTTTATATATACTCCTGTCTGAAATAAGACTTTAAATGTGAAATACAATTTTATAAGCATTTTGATATGTATACATCTGTAACAAAATATGAATTGTGCCATGCAAAAAATGTGAAAACTCAATGATGACAGTGTTGTAATGCAATTCACACCTCTTGGAACCATGATAGGAGTCTTAAAATGCAGATTGAACTAAATCTTCATGTACTCACGTGATTTTTAAATGCATTCAGAACTGCATTGCTGTCTAAATTTTGTTTATTAAAATTTGCACCGTTCTTTTGCATTTTAAACATTTTAAACATGTACTTATTTTCAAAATGTTCATTTTAAACACATTAAATGTGTTTTTGACAGGGTTTCCATGTGTGTGTCTGCCCTACCACACTTTTAGTCTTGACGTGAGAAGGTTTAATGTCTAGATAGGTCTTAAGGAAAACTGAATATAGTTATAAGCCTTAATTTTCAGGTAATAGAAGTCATTTAGACCTTAACTTCTCGTTCTGCATCCAACGTCCCTCCAACTTGTTCTTGCAACAGGGCATATGCTCTTTGTAGTGCTTGATACTCCATTGTTAGCTGTCGGAATCTCAGTTCTGTTTCTTCTTTTGCCATGCCCTGAAGTACAATAATAAAAAAGCAATACTTTAAACAGAACTAGATATGTAATTATGCTGACAAAGCAAATGAATGGCATTAATACATGGTTTTTATGGACACTGGCACAACCTGGGGATCACAACAAGACACAGTGAAGACATCTGCCCTTGCGCTATGCTACTCTGCTGCTGAGTATGCATGCCCAGTGTGGAACACATCTCACCACACTAAAACAGTGGATGTGGCTCTTAATGAGACATGCCGCATTATCACGGGGTGTCTGCGCCCTACACCACTGGAGAAATTACACTGCTTAGCCGGTATTGCACCACCTGACATCCGCCGGGAAGTAGCAGCCAATAGTGAAAGGACCAAGGCAGTGACATCTCCAGCTCATCCCTTGTTTGGGTATCAGCCAGCACTGTCAACGACTTAAATCTAGAAATAGTTTTCTAAGATCTACAGAGACACTTGCTGGAACACCCCAGCAAGCGAGAGTCTAAAATTGGCAGGCTCAAACCCTGAACCTCAATCAATGACTGATACCAAATGAGAGACTCCCCCCTGGGCACACAGAAAATTGAGCAACTTGGAAGGCGCTGAACAGACTGTGCTCTGGCACCACGAGATGCAGAGCCAACCTTAAGAAATGGGGCTACAAAGTGGAATCCACGACATGCGAGTGTGGAGAAGAGCAAACCACTGACCACCTGCTGCAATGCAACCTGAGCCCTGCTACATGCACAATGGAGGACCTTCTTGCGGCAACACCAGAGGCACTCCAAGTGGCCAAATACTGGTCAAAGGACATTTAATCAACTACCAAGCTTGCAAACTTTGTGTTTTGTCTGTTTGTTTGTTTTGTTAAAAATGTAATACAACTGTCTGGTTGCTCCTGACACGATAAATAAATAAATAAATATGTACACTGTCGTTTCTTCTATAAAAATAACACCTGGGAAAATTATTTTGCATTACTTACGGGCAAAACTACATAGTTTTATTAGGTATCTATGTCAGCATTGCATCACATTAAACAAAATTGTACAGAATTCTGAGTTATCATGAATGAGCAAGCTTAATACTATGAATTGCCCAGTTTCTTGTGATTAGATCCTCCTCTCAGTAGGCGGCAACTACACATTTTGAGAAGTCTCTTCATATGCGAATCAGAATCATTGTTTTATTTCCTAATAAACAAGAGTTAAAAACTAAGAATAAACCCTAACATCAGATTCCACTTTATTATGAGATTAATAAACAAGGCGTGCATATACACTGTAGAATTAATGCAGTTTGGCACCACTTTAACTGCCATGGCTCAATGCTATGGAATTATAGGATTTCTAGTTTGGTGATGCAACAATGCATAAACCTCTTTGTTTAACCATTTCTGTTGGAAGGAAGAGCCAAAGTGACGTCACCAAGCAGCATAAGACTACCACATTGACTTTGCAATTTCTGTCTTATTTTGATATGAGAACCAATTCAATATACATGGTCAGATGAAGGAGGCATAATCAAAACAAAAAGAACATATTAAAAAGTTATTCATAACAGATTTATGATAACACAAGCTTCCATACATTCAACTTCAATGCAAGAGATGACTGATGATTATTAAAAATCAATCTCTTCAGCAGATCCAACAACAACAACAATAATTCATGTATATTTTTAAAATATCCACACATCAAAGTTGCCCCAAGATTGACCAACTATATACTATTAACAGAAAATTGTTATGATCCCTTTGTAGGCTTGAACTATCAATTTTTAAAAAATAAATGCATATAAAGCAGAAAATGTATTCTAAAAACAAGTATCCAGCCCCTCTCTTTTTATGGTTTCAACTCCCACACTGTTTTAAAATGTCTAATAGTTTACCTCTTCCAAATCATCATCAGGTGTGCAGGGTGTCTGATCTGTTCGGTCAGTTTGATATGAGATAGAAGACCCATCAGATTCAAGGGAAGCTTCTTCATCGTACCCAAAAAATGTCTCCACAACTGGCTTCTGACCAAATGACAATGTGTAAATGCAAGGAAGGATATAAAGGCACCCAACCAGTAGACAAGCAGATCTCACTATTAAAAATGACTAATTTTCACATGAAAATTTGCAATGCTATTGAATTAACCTTTCCAAATTTCTCTCTTTTAAAAATGCCATATAGTAGCAAGTGAAAAATTCCACCAGATAAATGTTGCATTACAGTAAGCATTGATTATACTGGCCAACATTTTTGTGCATAAAATGTTAGCCCTGTTTCTGGTTATATTTGACATGCCGATTACAAAAATGATACCGGTTTCCTTCTATCATCTCTAATTTTTGAGATACATAATATATACCATTTGCCATCTGCTCATCCATAGAAAACCATGATCACCATATCTAAGAACTTGAGCTGAGGCAGTCTATCCAATGCCTTACATAGCCCTGGGAACAAGTTGAGAAACTAAGACAACAAGATTTCTTTTTGTTGGACTGTGTTATCAGTTAGGTGTTAATTCTACTTCCTGATCATCACCAAATGTTAATACAATAAAAGATTACTTGAACCTGACATAAATTATTTATTATTATTATTTATATCCTGTTCTTCTCTACCTCCGTGGAGGGACTCATAATGGCTAATAACAGCAAAAATTCAATGCTACACAATAAATGGCATTTTAAAAACAACATACATAATAAATACGTTATAAAATGCATATAAAAGGCTGTTAGCTGAGTTAAAAACATCATCCAACTCAATCCAAATATTGTGGTCCAATAACTCTTAATCTTCACCTGTTCATCAATCTGCAAATGCCTGATTCCAAAGCCAGGATTTCAGTATTTTCCTGAAGGTCAGGAGGGAGGGGGCAGACCTAACCTCATTGGGGAGAGAGTACCATAGCTGGGGGGCCACCACTGAGAAGGCCCTGTCTCTCATCCTCACCAAGCGCGACTGTGAAGGTGGTGGGACCGAGAGCAGGGCCTCTCCAGAAGATCTTAAAGGGGAAGATACGTTTGGACAGGTAAACTGGGCCGGAACCATGTAGGTTAAAACCAGTACTTTGAATTGTGTTTGGAAGCTAATCGGCAGCCAGTGGAGATGGTGTAACAGGAGAGTTGTGTGCTCCCTGTACCCCGCTCCCATGAGCAACCTGGCTGCGAAGTAAGGAGCTTCCATGCAGTCTTCAGTGGCAACCCTACATACAGTGCATTGCAGTAATCTATTTGGGATGTAACCAGAGAGTGGACCACCGTGGCCGTCAGACTTCCCAATGTACGGGTGCAGCTGGCGCACAAGTTTTAACTGTGCAAAAGCTCCCCTGGCCACCACCAAAACCTGGGGTTTCAGGCTCAGCAATGAATCCAGGATCACACCTAAGCTGCAAATTAAAGACATAATCAAACCTCTTCCTAGAATATCACATGATAGCCTGTCATATAATACACTTCCCAATTAAAAGAGAGGAGTAGTTTGAAATACTCGTTTGTCAAAAATCTGTCTCAAATGTACTGTATCGTTTTTTCAGTTCACGCAGCTGAGAAGAATGTGGAAGGTGGAGAAAGTGGAGAATGAAGAAAATGGAAAGAGCAGCAGGACAATCTTTCATGAGAAACCTGCTGGGCTGTTGAGAGAGGCAGAGGCAAAGTGTCTATGAGATGATAAGCATGCTGGCTAAAAGAAGGAGCAGAGCAGACAAATGATATGGTACATATTGGGCAGATTCAATAGTCTGATTGCAAGGAGAAAATGGTACAGAGCAGAGATGTAGGTCAGAAAAATACTTTGTTTGGGAACACAAAAGACCAGCAGAAATAAAGAGTCTGTGGGTGAAGAACTGAATAGGAATTGGAACAAAGGGGAAACCTGGTGTAATTCACATATAGAATTGTCTGACCCACTAACAGTTTTCTGACCTTACTTATGTGTAAAAAATATTCCTAGTTTCTAAAAATCTAAAAAAAATCTTACATAGTTTTCATACCTTGGGAAATTTTGCAAATTTCTTTCTTTGCTTCCTGTATCGTAAAAGCTTATCCCGTTCCTGTCAAAAGAAGTGAAACACATTTGTAATCCATGAAGTATTCCTGAATTCAAGTAAAAACTTAAGCACTTATCATTGTGTCCATGTCTGTGTATACACACACACACACACAAGGACTGAAAAATACAAATGGAGTTGGGGATTCAAATTGCGCATGCATATAACCTATGATAAAAATCAGAATATTAGCAAAAGAAACCAATACTGAAAGTGTGATTTTCAGTTTTCAGAAGCACAGTTTATGTTAGCTGTATTTTCAAGGTCCTGTTTTGGAGATCTATGATTAAAAATGGTGTGATTAAATGGGACCCTAAAAATTGATAGACAGAATTGATAGAATGTATATGTGTGTATATGTATACACACACATCTATCTATTGATGGAAAGGCTAAAAGTTCCACTGGCCCTGACTGGATTGTAACCTTCTCCAAACAGGCATGTCTATGTACTTGAATATAGTATAACCCTTTTATCCATGAGATAGGTACATGTCTTTTCACTTATCCATGTCTGAAAAAGTATGTCCTCTCTAGGAATTTTCTAGATGTTCCAGCGCAATGATATGCTCCCACTGGAGGCTGGCCATAGAGTCACACTGGAGGACAAACCAAGAATGGGCAACTTGGAAGTCCCTGAACAGGCTCAGAAGTGGAGTGGGCAGATCACAAGACAACCTGGCGAAATGGCACTACCTAAAAGAATCCCACACCTTGTGTGACTGTGGAGCAGAACAGACAACTCCGCATCTGTATGCTTGTCCACTATGCCCTGCCTCATGTACAGAGGAAGAATTGTTGGAGGCTACAGACAATGCCATTGCTGTTGCTCGTTTTTGGTCAAAAGATATTTAGCCACCTGTGTTCTTTCTATTTTTATCAGCTTCACACTAATTTATGCAATGCTTTTGATACAAAATAAATAACCGGAGGACCCATAAATGCTAAAGAATGGTTTAGATATGGAATTGATATGCTTCCCTTAGATAACATTCAATATGATTCACTATTATCTGCGGTTTCACATTTTCACAATACATTCAGGAACATACTCCACATGGATATGGGGATCAATGAAGAGGGAAATTGTTAAAACATTTTTCTTAAGCTGTATGATCTCATAGAGAGTGCCCATAAAGTACATATATCAAGACAAATCATACAAATTCAGTACTTACTATTACACTCTTCACATAGCCAGCAGTTTCTAGAGTCTGTTTCAAAAGATTAAAAGAAAATGTTATATGCACACTTTCCTTGTTTTCTTAAGCAATTTCTTCTGGCACATTTTATTATGCAATCTCCTCTAGATATTAAACCATTTCCAGTTGATCATTCTGTTCTTAAATATTAGGCACAATGCCTTATTATTATTATTATTATTATTATTATTTTACCGACACAAAAACACAGTATGTCACAGCAAACTATATATATATCCTGGATTCCGTATTACAAAATCACAAGTCGAACACTTCCCAAGCATCTAGGACTGTGTGATATATTTTTGAACAAAGCACACAGATCCAAGTAAGGTGGTCTTTTGCAAATGCCTTATTATTATTATTTATTATTATTATTATTACTATTATTATTAATACCCTGCTTTTTCTCTCCACAAGGAGACTCAAAGCGGCTTACATTAAAAGCATTTCAGTATTTAACATCTACAAATATATAAACATTAAAACAGAATTAAATATCATGGGCATTATTTCAAACTTCAGGATGTCATGGTACCTTTCTTAACAACATCAAATAATTGAGCAACTTGTGTAGGCAGTAAAATGATGTGTGAGTGACAATCTTGTCAAGTTTTAGATCATTCCTCTAGCCATCCTCTAAGTATAAGCTGTATAATATATTATTTTTATTATAAAAGCAGAATGTATTATATTTTGACAGAGCTTTTTTACTTTCATTTTTGAACAGTGCTATGTACATTATGAATGAAATAATCATGGGAGAGAAAAGTTGGAAAAAGAGGAGTACAATGAAGAGGAAAAGAAGGATGATATGGGGTAGAGGTAAGGGGAAGAAGGTTAATCCAATCGAGTCTCACTGTAAACCTATGGAAACATATTGAATGATTTTTTTCTGGTCTTCATACAAAATTCTCCTTCCAATTGTTGTTCTGAAACAGGTCTTCATAGTATCGTATGACAATCTGAAAATCATAGCCTTGCTCATTGATGATGGTGGATGCTTCTGTTACCTTTGAAAGTTCATCTATGATGTTTTGCTGCTCAAGGATCTGTAACCTCAGAAATTCAACTTCTCTCTCATCTTGACTCTGATCAAGGTCATTTAAAGAACTTGGCCTTCTTATCGTCCTCACTCTTTGCCTCTAAGGTAATCAGATAAACATTGAGAAACTGATCACAGAAGTTTTTCAACAAGCATGATTTCATTTTATCCACTTAGACAACAACTTGTTTACTGACACCAATTCAAAATTAACTTAAATAAGCCTGTTTTTCAAATTAAGCTGTGATTCTATTCAAACAGTTGGAGACTAGGGCATGTTATGGAAAGGGTTGTGCAATAGTGCCTGTGTCCATATTGTCATGATGGGCAACACTGCACATGCAATCTCTAGTCTGAATGGAAATGTGAATCCCAAGCCAAACTAGGTAGCATGAATGGCAATCCATACTGAATTAGAAGAGAGAAATGATCAGCTCTAGAAGGACTGCTCCTGTAACAGGTGTTTAAAACTATTTATTACAGCTATTAAGTGCTCTAGACATTGTGAAATGGTGCTCTTCCTCAATGGCATAGTCTACCAAGCAAACAACCAAAAAGAAACCAAAATAAAACAACCAGTACATACTATACTGTAATAAGAGCAACACACAGTTTTACTATTTTGAATCTGGTTGTATATCTACATCCAGTGCTCTTAAGTTGTTCCAGTTTCATCAAGATTCCATAAGTGGGAAATTGGATCAAATGAGTAAGACTTCAATAGTGATTACTTTCTTTAATGGAATGAGAACATAGTTGATTTTGGGATTCTGGAATTAGGAAGTTTCCAATATGGATGCTAGCTGTTTCTTCCCTACTTCATCCCATCTCATCTGTTGCAAGATTAGAAAGGATAATGTGAGAAAAAAGTCCTGAATTGGGGTGCAGCTTATGCTGCATGGTGTCACAGAAGTAAGGGAAAGAACACATCATCAATATTTGAAAGAGTCATATTTAAAAAAATGTTTAAATATTTAAAAAACTCATGTACTCCCTTGTATGCATATTAGGATATAAAACTTACCATTTCTAAATTTTCCTGGGTTACAAATTTTAATTTATTTTCCATACGACGTAAGGCATGAGACAGATCTTCATTCTTCCTACTTAGACGTCTATTTTTATCTAGCAATGGTTTGTACTGGCTCTCAGCTTCTCTTAAACGTTTTAGCTGAAAAACAGATGAAAGATTTACACAGACATAGCAAATTTGCCTATTTTCTCCAAATCCATGGAGGGGTTTCAGATGGTACTAACTAAAATAGAATTTTACAATATGACACTGTAGTCCAATGGGGCTTTTGTGAGGCACACTGGGTTTTCTGCTCAAGCACCTCCCACAAATTGTTTGGGAATTGCAAATTATTCTTCCAGGAGCTTCCTGTAGCTACAATTTTTCATATATGCATTTGGAAAAGAGATAGAGGATTATATATACATAAGGGGTGTGCAGAGATCCCTTTAGTGATTCAGGATCTGCCAATCCAGCAACTGGACCACCAAAAATGGACTGGGTGAGGGGCAGCTGAAAGCTCCAATGGAACGATTTGCTAGCAGATGGATCTTTCAGATAATGGGGGAATGGAACTGAGGGGCACTCTACCTCAGTGGGCAACTAGGCCACAATGTGTGGGCAACCTCTCAAATCAGGCAAAAGCAGGGTTGAGATTTCTCTCTCTCTCTGTTTCTCACATTACTTTCTCAACCAATCAGAGCCTGGTTGACTGTATCCATTCTCCTCCCCTCTTGTAGCACACACTGGTTGGGACTTAAATTCCCAGAACTCCCTCTTGTGGTTTTTTTTAAATGTTATGCTAAAAACTTTTTAAAAATCCCCAAAATCAGTGAATTAGTAAAATGTTCTGAAACTTGGCAGGCTTGCAGTCATAAATGTGGCCTGTGAGTGAGGTAAGTTTCCTCCTGATAGGCCTAAATTATGGGGAAAAGAACCTCTGGCACCAATGGATCAAATCTTACTGGATCTAAAATGCCACCCCCTCTCGATTTCAGGAATTTCCCATTAAATGGAGGGGAGCTGTAAATGGGACCAAAGATGGCCAATTTTTTGCCAAGTCACACACGCTGTGTGTGTGTGTGGTCCTCCATCTCTACTCCCTAAACAGAATATTTGCAAAACTGAAAGTGACATATATTTCCAGTTTCATAAAAATGGGCAGGAGTGGTCTGCAGAGGTCTACAGATAAGTAGGGAATAAAATGGTTATAGGAAATCTCTGGAAACATCCATCCAGTGGTTATAGGAAATCTCTGCAAACATCCACCCATGATCTAAACCAGGGGTCCACAAACTTTTTAAACAGTGGGCCAGGTCACAGTCCCTCAAACTGTTGGAGGGCTGGATTATAATTTGAAAAAAAAAAATGAATTCCTATGCACACTGCACATATCTTATTTGTAGTGCAAAAAAAACACTTAAAAACAATACAATAATTAAAATGAAGAACATTTTAACAAATGTAAACTTATTAGTATTTCAATGGGAAGTGTGGGCCTGCTTTTGACTGATGAGATAGGATTGTTGTTGTTGTTGTTGTTGTTGTTGTTGTTGCTGTATGCTTTCAAGTCGTTTCAGACTTAGGTTGACCCTGAGCAAGGGCCAGGAAAATTACCATGGAGGGCTGTATCCGGCTCCCAAGCCTTAGTTTGAGGACCCCTGCTCTAAACTGTTTGATTATAATACAGCATGGAATGCTGTGTGTATATATAAGCAGTAGGGCTGGGCGGTTTCGTTTCGTTAATTCGTAATTCGTTAATAATTCGTTAATTTTTTCAATTACAAAACGATAACGAACCATTCTGGAGCAATTATTTAAAAAACCGAATTTTTAAATACGTTTTGTAAATGCTTCGTATTTCGTTATTGTATTCGTTTCGTTATTGTTTTGAGGTCGTTTCGTTATTATTTCCGCATGTCTGGGCCAGTTTTATGGTTTAATTAGTGAAAAAAAATTATAATATCACACCAACAGTCAACAACAGAGGGAGAGGGAAGCTTCAGAAGGTTTTGGAGGTTTTTTAGCGTATTTCACGGTCGCGTCCGCCATTAACGAATCGATTCGTTATTGTTTCGGAAATCGATTCGTTAATTTTTTTACCATTTACGAAATTTCGTAAATATCGAACTTTTTAAAAGGAAAATTTTGTAATTATTTTAAATATCGAAACAAAAAAAACCCCAAATACAAATCGATTTTAGAAACAAATTTTTCCGTTGTTACCCAGGCCTAATATATATCAGTGGGGTGGTGAATCCACTGTTATTTTACTCCAGACATCAAAGGAACCATTCAAAGTGGTGGGCCCAATTCAAAATGAATTCAGTATCTTGAAAGTTAGAACAACAACAGCAACAACAACTTGGGTGGCTTACATAGAGTTTGTCCACAAAACATCAAAACGAAACAATCAATTAAAACAAAAAACACAATTAAAATAAAGCATAGCAAAGCATAACAATCAAATCAAACCTAATTAAAGAATATATAAGGGTATAAAACAGCAGCATTAAAGCTCACTCAAACAATACACAACAAAAACCAATAAGCAGAATATTAAGATGGGTATGATCAGGATATAAAGAATATTGAGCCTGGGATAGTGCAAAACAGCGTAGTATAAAGTAGTAGGATAAAATCCAGAACAGATTTGTTGTCTGATTGACATTAGACCCACAACATTTCATACAAATCTGGAGAGCTGAAGGGACTCCGACCCTGCTCTTTACTTTTAAAATCCATCAGATTTAAGTTACTTAGGTTGTAGATTTATCCTTTAAGACTGTTAAAAAAAAGATGTCATAATGAATTTATCAATCTTGGAATGGTCAATCCAAGATCCCTTTCCACGCCCTGCCCTTTCAGACATGTGGAGGAGAAGTTTGCTTCCACAATTTATTTTACAGATTACAGGCTTATTTATTTTCACAGATGACACTCAAGCTGTCCAGCAGACTAAATAAACCCTCAGCTTTAGTTCTCAAGAAAAAAACCCATGTTGGATGATAAATGGCAACCAATACCATCCTTTTAAAAGACACACTTTCCTTGTTTTGTGAAAGAAACATATTGTGGAGAATATTCAAGCCTTGGAACACTCTTCAGGAAATTGAAAAGAAGCCAAGTGCCTAGGCTATTCATGATCATCACAATTGTTTCATCTAATATGCAAACCCGATATGCAGCACCAGATTATACTGCGGAACTCCTGCTCTAATGCCCTCTATAAATTGAACTTATATGGATTTTTCCAACATGCCACCATGCTTTATTGCAATAGCTCTGTGAAATATCTGCTTTGCCAGAGCAAATGTCATTAACTGGCCCTTAAATAGAATTTTATAGAGATGTGGTAGAATTTGGCACTTTGGAGAATTAAAAGGGAAGGAAAATGCCAACAGTGGGACAGTATTAGGCAGAATTACACCAGGGAATGCTAGCTTCTAGCAATTTCACTAGGTGAGATCCTGCTAAAACAAAGTAGAGGCACAAATCTACAACAGAATGCATGTTTTGTATCAGGGCTGGAGAATCTTTCCCCTCAGTAATATTTTAAAAATAAGCTTTATTCAGGAATAAAACACAAACTAAAAGACACTATTTAGAAATGTAACCACACAGCTACATACTATACACTACAATTTAACATCTATAGAAAACTACCAACTTCCAACTCTCTATAGGATGAGAGATTATGATTATTCCTTAGTCATCTGCTCCCTTTAAAGAATAATGCCATTATACAAACACTACTATTTCATGAATCACCAAATTAAGTCTACACCATTGTTGTGAAAAGGTAATTAATAAGTTTCAATTTTTCTTAAAGTTAATCAGAGATTTCTCCATAATCAACATTGTCAATTTGTTCATTTCTGCTATTTTATTGTTTGTTTGTTTATTTATCTAAGACATTTATATTCCACCCTTCTCACCCCACAGGGGACTCAGGGCAAAGTACAACAAATATATGGCAAACATTCAATGCCGGGACATAAAACCATAAATATATACAAACATTAAAATATTCACTTTAAAAGTTGCTTAAAAACCACCTCAGGACACCATTTTGCCTCATTGCACTGTCTCAAAGGCTTGGTCCTAGAGCCAGATCTTCACCATTCTTCTGAAGGACAGGAGGGAGGGGGCCGATCTAATATTTCCAGGAAGGGAGTTCCATAACCAGGGGACAATCACTGAGGAGGCCCTGTCTCTCATCCCCACCAAACGCACCTGTGATGGTGGTGGGACCGAGAGCAGGGTCTCCCCAGAAGATCTTAGTTTCCGCAGTGGTTCGTAAAGGGAGATGCGTTCAGTCAGGTAAACTGGGCCGGGGCTGTTTAGGGCTTTATAGGCCAAAGCCAGCACTTTGAATTGTGCCTGGTAGCAATCAGGCAGCCAGTGGACCTGATGTAACATGGGAGTTGTGTGCTGGTTTTTACTGGTTCCTTCCACTACTGAACACTTTTGAGGGCCATGGACACAACTCCTAGATCCAGTATCTATCATCCAGTGGAATCATATGGGGAAGTTCCTTGAAGGACTTTGAGTGTGGAGAGCATATTTTGTCTACACTCTCTGCAAGACAATATTAGGAAGATGCCCAACTGGAACATCTCTGACCATCCTAAGAAAATAAGTTTAATGTATAGGTTCATAAATCAACATGTGGGTTGGTTGATGTCTGAATCCAGACCCACAATGTGTATCAGTTCTATCAACAGCTAAAATCAAACAAAGCTGTGGCCTATTTCTTCCATTTATTGTGTCTGTCTTGATAGTGGTTTACAATGCAGAATACATGTCACCATTGGATGAACAATTGGAATTACAGTTACAGTACAGAAGAAGTGAAGTTACCCCTCTACAGTTACAAACAGAATGTGGTATTATCCTAATGAGCAAAAGGAATTAACCACAATTAATTGCAATTTATAAAAAGCCTATCTTCCAAAAGTAAAAGTGCAGTTCCCACTACAGCACCGGGACTATGGCGCAGTTGGCTGGGAGTCAGCTGCATTAAGTCACTACTGACCGAAAGATCATGAGTTCAAAGCCAGCCCAGGTCGGGGTGAGCATCCAACCAATTTGTGTAGCTTGTTGTCGACCTTTGCAGCCAAAAAGACAGTTGCATCTGTCAAGTAGGAAATTTAGGT